TTCTCCGGACCGCCTCTTTACTCTATAAATACCCCAATATTACAGAAACCCTAGGGGACTCAACGAAAATCAATTCCAGCCGCCGCAAGTTCCAGAACCACCAAATCCAATCTAGACACCATCACAGAGGGGTTCATCATGTCCATTGGTGCCTCTCCGATGATGCGTGAGTAGTTCTTTGTAGACCTTCGGGTCCGTAGTTAGTAGCTAGATGGCTTCCTCTCTCTCTCTCTCTCGTTTGATTCTCAATACAATGGTCTCTTGGAGATCCATATGATGTAATTATTTTTGTGGTGTGTTTGTTGGGATCCGATGAACTTTGAGTTTATGATCAGATCTATCTCTTTTTATCCATGAAAGTTATTTGAGTCTTCTTTGATCTCTTATATTCATGATTGATTATAGCCTCGTATTTCTTCTTCGATATTTGGGTTTTGTTTGGCCAACTTGTTCTATTTATCTTGCAATGCGAAGCGGTGCTTTGTGATGGATTCGATCTTACGGTGCTTGATCCCAGTGACAGAAGGGGAACCGGCACGTATGTATCGTTGCTTTACAGATAACAAGATGGGGTCTATTTCTACATAAATAGATCTTATCTACATCATGTCATCGTTCTTATTGCATTACTCCGTTTCTCAATGAACTTAATACACTAGATGCATGCTGGATAGCGGTCGATGTGTGGAGTAATAATTGTAGATGCAGGCAGGAGTCGGTCTACTAATCTTGGATGTCATGCCTATATAATGATCATTGCCTAGACAGCGTCATGGTTATTTGAAGTTCTATCAATTGCCCAACAGTAATTCGTTTATCCACCGTTTGCTATTTTTCTCGAGAGAAGCCACTAGTGAAACCTACGGCCCCTGGGTCTCTTCTTTAATATATTTGCCTTTGCGATCTATTTTTCTTTGTTTTTATTTTTAGATCTATTAAACCAAAAATACAAAAATACCCTGCTGCAATTTATTTTATTCGAGATTTATTTATCTCATCTATCATATTTTTATCACGTCCGTTTGCCAATTTCTGGCGCCTTTACCCGAAAGGGATTGACGACCCCTTTAACCCGTCGGGTTGCGACTATTTGTTATCTGTGTGCAGGTGCTGTTTACGTAGTGTTGCTTGGTTCTCCTACTGGTTCGATAAACTTGGTCTTATCACTGAGGGAAATACCTATCGTCGCTGTGTTCCATCATCCCTTCCTCTTTGGGGAAATACCGACGTAGTCTAGCAGACATCAGTCGGGGGGCCGACCGTGGGCTCGGTTGGACGAACAGTGAAGGAGGGGAGGAAGACGACAACGGGGGAGGTGCTGGGTGATACGTAAATTTTGCATCATGCTTTTATATTGATATTTATTGCATTATGGGTTGTTATTACACATTATATCACAACACTTTTGCATATTCTCTATTATTTTATAAGGTTTACATGAAGAGGGAGAATGCCGACACCTGGAATTCTGGGCTCGAAAATGAGCAAATATTAGAGACCTATTCTGCACAACTCCAAAAGTCCTGAAACTTCACGGAGCATGTTTTTAGAATAAATAAAAAATATTGGGCGAAGAAATTACAAGAGGGGGGCCACCAGCCAGCCACAAGGGTGGAGGGCGCGCCCCCCGACCTTGTGGGCCCCCTGACAGGCCTCCGGTGCCCATCTTTTTCTATATGGTGTCTTTTACCCTAGAAAAAATCAAGAAGGAAGCCTTCGGAACGAAGCGCCGCCGTCTCGAGGCGGAACCTGGGTAGAACCAATCTAGGGCTCCAGCGGAGCTGTTCTGCTGGGGAAACATCCCTCTGGGAGGGGCAAATCGAACCCATCGCCATCACCAATGATCCTCTCATCGAGATGGGTTCAATCTCCATCAACATCTTCACCAGCACCATCTCCTCTCAAACCCTAGTTCATCTCTTGTATTCGATCTTGGTCCCAAAACCTCAGATTGGTACCTGTGGGTTGCTAGTGGTGTTGATTACTCCTTGTAGTTGATGCTAGTTGGTTTATCCGGTGGAAGATTATATTTTCAGATCCTTAATGATAATTAATACTCCTCTGATCTTGATCATAAATATGTTTTGTGAGTCGTTATGTTTGTTCCTAAGGACATGAGAGAAGTCTTGTTATAAGTAATCATGTGAATTTGGTATTGTTCGATATTTTCATGAGATGTATGTTGTCTTTTCTCTAGTGGTGTTATGTGAACGTCGACTACATGACACTTCACCATTATTTGGGGCTAGGGGAAGGCATTGGGAAGTAATAAGTAAATGATGGGTTGCTAGAGTGGCAGAAGCTTAAACCCTAGTTTATGTGTTGCTTTGTAAGGGACTGATTTGGATCCATATGTTTCATGCTATAATTAGGTTTACCTTAATTCTTCTTTCGTAGTTACGGATGCTTGCGAGAGAGGTTAATCATAAGTGGGAGGCTTGTTCAAGGAAAGGCAGCGCCCAAGCACCAGTCCACCCACGTATCAAATTATCAAAGTAACGAATGCGAATCATATGAGCATAATGAAAACTAGTTTAAGAACAATTTCCATGTGTCCTCGGGAGCGCTTTGCTTTATATAAGAGTCCGTCCAGGCTTGTTCTTTGGTACAAAAAAGGATTGTGCCACTTTGCTGCACCTTAGTTACTTTATTTACTTGTTACCTGTTACGATTTATCTTATCACAAAACTATCTGTTACCGATAATTTCAGTGCTTGCAGAGTATATCTTGCTGAAAACCGCTTGTCATTTCTTTCTGCTCCTCGTTGGGTTCGACACTCTTACTTACCGAAAGGACTATGATAGATCCCCTATACTTGTGGGTCATCACTGGGCCTGTCCCTATGGCCTAAGGCCCAGGGGCAGGGTTTTTCCTTTTTCTTTTTTTCTTTTCATTTCCTATTCTTTTTTATTTTAGCTTATGTTTTCTATTTCCTTTTAAAATAAATTAGTCTTATATAATATAAAACTTGCACCACTATTAGTGTTTTAAAATAAGCCACTTCCACAAAAAGTTTGGTACTTAAATAAATTAGTTTACAAATTTTATAATTTAAAAAGTATGTAAATTATTGTTTTAGCCCATGCTTTAATTATTTTAGGGCATTTAAACACTTTATAAAATTTTATTTTCTCCACCATAATTATCTATGGATTATTTGCCACATTATGAACATTTTAGTTTTCATGTTTGTGAATTTTTTTATTTCACTTATAATTTGAATTTGAATTCAAAGTGGAATTTGAAATGTGATATGGATCAAGATGATTAAGCATTGTTTAACATAATGACTTAGCTTAATCGAAGAGGTTAATGTAGCTCAGGACACAGGGGTGTTACACTCATATTGGCAACCAGTAGATGTATGTTTTTAAAAAAAAAAATTGGGACAATTTTTTTTATTCAGGTTGTAAGCTATGATATATTTATTTGTGTTGTGGAACTATGCTATTTTTTGTTTGCTTACGAAACTATGCAAAATATATGTATATTTGTTGAAAAACGGCGGCAGGCCGGCCACGCGGGCAGATATGGGTTGGCGTGTTGGCCGCACTGTCGACTCAAATTAAAAAGAGGGCGGACGCCGAGCGGGCGGATGACCTAAACGGACAAAAAAAATCGAACAAAGCGTACGTTCATTTGAGTCGGCGCGTTGGAGTTGCTGTTAGATGATTGGTTCACCATGCATTCGGTTCCACTGACCAATCAACCCGTGTATGTGAATGTATGTATTCACCTCCTCTTTCATGGGAGAAACCACAGCACTCAAATACACAAATACAAACCCTAACCAAATCAATGCTATGAAGATCCCTCCAGGATCAAAGCATTGAGGCCAGGTTCGGACTTGCGCACCACTATGGCCGGTCTGCCGCCACGGAAGGTTTGGCAAGCGAGGGACGCGCCGTTCGAAACCGACGGATCGGTGTGCGCCGCACTGGCAAAGGAGCCGCATGTGCGCCCGGCATCTCCTCATCCCCGTTCTTTAATCAGCCCGTGCAGCTAGCCAGAGCATGAGCTGTGCCCGGACGCAATAACCATCTGGACCAGCCTGCCCCCGCCCGCCCTTCCTTTCCCCCTCCCCTTCCCGTGCCCCATCCCCGGTGGTCGGATCGCGCCCCGCTTTCCCCTTCCTCGCTGTGCAAGCTCACCGCCCGCTTTGCTTGGCTACTGGCTGGCTAGCCCACTGATTGGACGCGCGCCGGTACACATGCATACACGTACGCGGCGTCGTTGCGTGGCGCTCCCGGTTTGTCCCTGCTCGTGTAACCCACCTCTACAGGACAAGCGACATGCTGGCGCCCGACGATGGATTGGCTTCTATTTTGGCCGTTTTTCATCATTGGTGCCGCGGTCACAAGCAACGGCATTCTCATCGGGTTAACTGCGAGCGTGGTAGTAGGTGCCGTCGGCGTGGCCATGCTCGACTTACTACTACCACTGCAGAACTGTGTACCAATGACAGTACGGGAGATGGGCCAAGCAAAGACTTTATCAGAGTGGAGCCAGCGTAGCTTTGGTGGTAATTGGTAAACGTGGGTCTTCTTTCTCATTTCTGCAATCACATCAAGCGGAAAACCCCGCTGCAAACGGCGGTGCAAGGATTGGCTGCCATGGAAAAATGCATGTGCGCCCCCTGTAGCTGTAGGTGAACCTTAACCACCAGCCAATAGCCATCCCAACACAGCACGATATATATCCATGTACACACAAGGACACCGCAACTTGAGGGAGGGAGTCAGGGAGGGAGGAGGATATATGTACATACTGGCACATCGCTACGGCATTCGATTGGAGGGCAGCAGCATCCTCTGACCTGCCAAACTGCCCCCAGCACCGGCAGCGGAGCCTTGGCCATTTCCTCCCTTCCAAGCACCGCCAATCTTGTCCGACCTCCCTCCGCGTCCGCCGCGGTGCCAAACCCAAGAAAGGCACAGCATCGCCAATCTGTGCAGCGGGAAGCTCGGGGAGACAGAGGATTAGACTGACTGACGCGACAATGGGGGCTTCCTCTTGCTCCTCCGTGCGGCTGCTGCTGCCGCTGCTCTGCCTGCTGGGCTTCTGCTTCGCGGCGAGCCACCAGAAGTCGGACTCGTGCGACGGGGACCTCCAGGTGGCGCGCCTCGTGCCCTTCGACACCGACGCCTTCCACTGCATCACGCTCTGGAAGGACGAGGACTTCATCCTCAGGGTACGCCTTCTCTCACCGCATTGCTGCGGATTTCTGGTCTGTGTTTTCCAGCAATCAAGCCGTGGCCGCCTGATCTGATCCGGAATGCTTCTTGTGTCGCCACTCGCCAGTACAAGAACACGGGGACGAGCCAGTGGAGCTTCGTGCTGTCGGCGCCGGAGAAGAGATCCTACGTGGCGGTGGGGTTCTCGGGCAAGGGGGGCATGGTGGGCAGCAGCGCCATGGTCGGCTGGTCGTCGGGCGGCAAGGGCGCCGCCAAGCAGTACTACCTGCAGGGCAGGAGCCCGGAGGCCGTGACGCCGGACGACGGCCGGCTCACCCTGGTCAGGAACCGGACCGTCGCCGTGTCCAAGTCCGGTCGGCTCTACCTGGCCTTCGAGCTCAGCACCGACCGCCCGCAGCCGTACCTGATCTACTCCGTGGGCTACGAGGGCAGCCTCCCTTCCTCCTCCGACTACACGATCCAGATGCACCGCGACATGGGCTCCCGCTCCTTCAAGTTCGCCTCCGGTACGTACATCCATCCATTATTAATTCCACCGCTAATTCTCTTTTCTGCTTGAGAGAGCAGTAGTTCCGTAAGAAAAACGGCCAGTACACATTTTTTACTTACCGAGGAGGATCTGTGGGTTGGTTTGTGTCCAGCGTCGCCGTCCAGCGCCGGCGGCGAGTCGGGCGAGGAGGGGTTCCCGGCGAAGAGGTGGCACGGGCTGCTGTCCATGATGGGGTGGGGCGTGCTGCTGCCGATGGGCATGATGGTGGCGCGCTACTTCCGGCGGCAGGACCCCTACTGGTTCTACGGCCACATCGCCGTGCAGGGGCTGGGCTTCCTCATCGGCATCGCGGCGGTGGTCCTCGGATTCCGGCTCAACGGGGACGGGCTCAAGAACATCGTGGTGCACAAGGTCATCGGCATCTCCATCCTGTCCATGGCATGCCTCCAGGTACGCACGCCGCACAGAATTCTTCTTGAGTATGAGCCTCATTAGATCAGCCTTAATCTTTTTTTACTGGATTAACCTTAATCTTAAGAGCATGGGGCGGTGGTTGTGTGGAAATTGCTGGCTAATCTGAGTCCACTTTTGGCTCCTTGGCTGGCTGGATACATGTGCTGTGGCATCTAATCATTTGAGTTGCCAGAATGGCATGTGCTGTGTGGGATGGGAACACAAGCCTGGAACAGCAAGAAATTTTACCAGCTTATTAGTTTCTAGTAGTAGTACTGTAGTAGATGTTGACTGTGAATCCGACTTGCTAGTTAAGTGTAATTTCCACATGCCCCGTGATGTTCTTGCCATCAGAATTGATGCTTCCATTCGTTGACTCCTCCGAGAATAGTACACACTGTCGGTCGCGTTCATGCATGTTCTTGAGGACGGCAGAAGAACATTCTCCCGAGAG